TGCAACCTCTGCTTCACGGGTTCAAGAGATTGTCCTGCCTCGGTTTCCCGAGTACCTGGGATGAGCAGCCTGCACCACCTTGGCCCCGCTAAGTTTTGCATTTTTAGTAGAGACGGGGTTTCACCGTGTTGGGGAGGGTTGTCTTGAACCCCTGACCTCAGGTGACCCACCTGCCTCGGCCGCTTAAGGTGCTGGGATTACACGTGTGGGTCACCGCATCCGGCTAATTCTTGTATTTTTAGTAGAGATGGGGTTTCACCATGTTGACCAGGGCTGGTCTCGAACTCCCGACCTCGTGATCCGCCCGCCCCGGCCTCCCAAAGCCCTGGTATGACACGGGTGACCCTCCAGGTCCGGCGTTTTTTATTTTAGTAAAAAATTGAGAGGCATTTGGCAGAGTGGCCAGTTGACACAGGTGTCCCCGAGATTCCCTTCCTGCAGGACGAGGCGGGTCACCCCCCTGTGGGTGATGGGGTGCCAGGGGGCTGGGGACCTCAGCTGTCATGGTGGAATTTCCCTGCCCGCCGAGTTAGAAAGAGGACTTTTCAGGTGGAAGGAACCACCCCCTTCTCTTTTGTGCCTTCAATCCACAGGCGTTTCTGGCAGGCCGGGGCCTCCTGTGAATGAAATAAAGGCTTTTTTCCCGCACAATGGGTGTCTCTGTGTGTGTCTGGGAGGAAGCTTTTTACCCATTGATGTGGAAGTCAGGCTTTGAAAGGCGTCTTGAGGACGTTGTAGGCTTTGGGGGGACTTCCCTGCTGGCTCAGACACCCCTTTGTGGAGGGTGCAGATAAATTGGAGGGGAGGGTGAAGGTCCTGGCAGCCACAGTGAAGCACGTGAAGGGGAAAGAGATCTCAAAGCCGACGCCTGCAGGGATGGGGCTCGGAAAGGGGGAGCCCTGGGGAGGGCACATCTGTGGTGGCACAGCCACTTCTGGGCCGGGAAACATGAGACACACACGTCACGGGAGACGGGTTTTCATCCTGAAGGATAAAGACACTTGTGCCAAGCTCAGGAGGACTCAGACTCTTTCCCGCTTGTTTTTATTCTGTCTGCCTTTCAGCTGCAATGAGGCGTTACAAGGCCCACGGCTGGTTTCCCGGAGGGGCCGTGCGGGCTCAGGTCTGTCACCCCAGCACTTTGGGAGGCCGAGGTGGAGGGATCTCTTGAGGTCAGGCGTTCGAGACCAGCCTGGCCAAAGTGTTGAAACCCCCATCTGTACTAAAAATATAAAAATCAGCTGGGTGTGGTTGTGGGTGCCTTTAATCCCAGCTACTGGGGAGGCTGAGGCAGGAGAATCGCTTGAACCCGGGAGGCGGAGGTTGTAGTGAGCTGACATCGCGCCACTGCACTCCAGCCTGGGCGACAGAGCCAGACTCCATCTAAAAAAAAAAAAAAAAAAAAAAATTAGGCCTGGCGCGCTGGCTCAAGCCTGTAATCCCAGCACTTTGGGAGGCCGAGGCGGGCGGATCACCTGGGGTCGGGGGTTCAAGACCAGCCTGGCCAACATGAAGAAACCGTGTGTCTATTAAAAAATATCATAATTAAGTCAGATGTGGTGGCTCAGACCTGTCATCCCAGGCCTTTGGGAGGCCGAGGCGGGCGGATCACGAGGTCAAGAGATCGAGACCATCCCGGTCAACATGGTGAAACCCCGTCTCTACTAAAAATACAAAAAATTAGCTGGGCATTGTGGCGTGTGCCTGTAATCCCAGCTACTGGGGAGGCTGAGGCAGGAGAATCGCTTGAACCCAGGAGGTGGAGGTTGCAGTGAGCTGAGATGGCGCCATTGCACTCCAGCCTTTGTGCCAGGAAAGAGAGTCTATCTCAAAATTTAAAAAAAAAGGAGAGGGGGGCAAGTTTATTTCTCATAATCCAAGCGGATCTCATGTCTTTTTTCCTTTTTTCTGAGAGGGTCTTGCTCTGTTGCCCCGGCAGGAGCTCAGTGGCGCAAGCATAGCTCAGCCTCGAGCTGCTGGATTCTAGCAATCCTCCTGCCTCACCCTCCTGAGCAGCTAGAACCGAAGACCTGACCATGCCCGGCCAATTTTTCTGAATTTTTTTTATGGAGATGGGATCTTGCTATATTGCCCCGGCTGGTCTCAAAGTCCTGGGCTCAAGCGATCCTCCTGCCTCCGCCTCTCAAAGTGCTGGGATTACAGGCATGAGCCGCTGCACCCGGCCCTCCTAAGTTTTTAATTATAACAAGTGAAGTCTAATTTTTTGATGGGGACGGACACCTGGTACATGTAACTTATTGGCCTGAGAGGCTTCCAAGAGGAATAAGCCAAAATCCAAATGGTTCTAATTCTTTTGGAAACTGCATTTCATTTTTTGTTCTTTTCTTTCTTTCTTTCTTTCTTTTTTTAGACAGAGTCTTACTTTTTCTGTCACCTAGGCTGGAGTGCAGTGGCACGATCTCGGCTCACTGCAGCCTCCGACTCGCGGGTTCAAGCGCTTCTCCTGCCTCAGCCTCCCGAGTAGCTGGGATTATGGGCGCATAGCACCATACCCAGTTAATTTTTGTGTTTTTGGTAGAGACGGGCTTTCGCCATGATTCTCAGGCTGGTCTCGAACTCCTGACCTCGTGATCTGCACGGCTCAGTCTCCCAAAGTGCTGGGATTACAGGCATGAGCCATCGCGTCCAGTTAATTTCTGTATTGTCTTTTTTGTGGAGATGGGGGTCTGGCTATATTGGCCCGGCTGGTCTCGAACTCCTGGCCTCAAGTGATCCTCCCGCCTCGGCCTTAGATAATATCGCGACACAGGATTCCCCTTGTTGGAGGTCCCTCGACTTGTCAAATTCGTGCACACGGAAAATAGAATGATACATGCCAGGGTTTTGGGGGAGGGAGAAAAGGGGACAGGGGTTCGGTTTTGCAAGATGGGAAACTTGACCAAATCTTGTGCATAAAAATGGAAAATACTCAACACGACTAAATTCTCCTCTTACAAAGGCTCAAGATGGTAAATGTTATATCGTGTGTGTGTGTGTGTGTGTGTGTGTGTGTTTCTTTTTTTTTTTTTTTTTTTTTGAGACCGAGTGTCACTCTGTCGCCAGGCAGGACTGCAATGGTGCGATCTCAGCTCACTGCAACCTCCGCCTCCCGGGTTCAAGCGATCCTCCCGCCTCAGCCTCCCGGGTAGCTGGGATTACAAGAATCTGCCAGCACGCCCGGCTAATTTTTGTACTTTTAATAGTGATGGCGTCTCACCGTGTTGACCGGGCTGGTCTCGAACTCCTGACCTCAGGCCATCCTCCTGCCTCAGCCTCCCGGGTAGCTGGGATTACAGGAATCTGCCAGCAAGCCCGGCTAATTTTTGTACTTTTAATAGTGATGGCGTTTCACCGTGTTGACCGGGCTGGTCTCGAACTCCTGACCTCAGGCGATCCTCGTGCCTCAGCCTCCCGGGTAGCTGGGATCACAGGTGTGAGCCTCCACGCCGGGTGCATTTTTGTATCTTACTGCAGAGATAATGGTCCCTGAAGATGCCCAAATGCGTTCCTGCCCTCAGTCGTCCCTCTGGCTAAGAAAAATCCCACTAGCCCCCACCCCTGCTGTCCCTCCCCTAGCCCCGCACCCCTGCTATCCCTCCCCTAGGCCCCCACCCCTGCTGTCCCTCCCCTAGGTCCCCACCCCTGCTATCCCTCCCCTAGGCCCCCACCCCTGCTGTCCCTCCCCTAGGTCCCCACCCCTGCTATCCCTCCCCTAGGCCCCCACCCCTGCTGTCCCTCCCCTAGGTCCCCACCCCTGCTATCCCTCCCCTAGGCCCCCACCCCCTGCTATCCCTCCCCTAGGCCCCCACCCCTGCTGTCCCTCCCCTAGACCCCACCGCCTGTTATCCTTCCCCTACCTCCACCTCCTGCTCTCCCTCCCCAGCTCCCCATCCTCCTGCTCTCCCTCCTCTGGCCCCACACCCTCCTGCTCTCCCTCCTCTAGCCCCCACCCCCTGGTCTACCTCCCCTATCTCCACCTCCTGGTCTCTGTCCCCTGGCCCCCCACGCCCTGCTCTCCCTCCCCTGGCCCCCAACCCCCTGCTCTCCCTCCCCTGGCCCCCAACCCCCTGCTCTCCCTCCCCTGGCCCCCCACTCCCCTTCTATCCCTCCCATAGCCTCCCACCCTCTGCCATCCCTCCCCTACCTTCACCTCCTGCTCTCCCTCCCCTGGCCCCCCACCACCCTGCTCTCCCTCCCCTGGTCCCCCACCACCCTGCTCTCCCTCCCCTGGCCCCCATCCCCTGCTCTCCCTCCCCTGGCCCCCCACCCCGTGCTCTCCCTCCACTGGCCCCCCACCCTCTGCTCTCCCTCCCCTGGCCCCCACGGACCTGCTCTCCCTCCCCTGGCCCCCCACCCCCTGCTCTCCCTCCGCTGGCCCCCCACCCCTGCTCTCCCTCCCCTAGCCCCACACTCCCCTGCTATCCCTCCCAGAGCCTCCCACCCTCTGCCATCCCTTCCCTACCTTCACCTCCTGTTCTCCCTCCCCTGGCCCCCACGCCCTGCTCTCCCTCCCCTGACCCCCCACCCCCTGCTCATCCTCCCCTGGCCCCCCAACCCCTGCTCTCCCTCCCCTGACCCCCCACCCCCTGCTCTCCCTCCCTTGAGCCCCCACCCCCTGCTCCTCCTCCCCTTGCCCCCCACACCCTGCTCTCCCTCCCCTGGTCCCCCACCACCTTGCTCTCCCTCCCCTGGCCCCCCACACCCCTGCTCTCCCTCCCCTGGCCCCCCACCCTCTGCTCTCCCTCCCATGGCACTGCACCCCATGCTCTCCCTCCCCTGGCCCCCCACACCCCTGCTCTCCCTCCCCTGGCACTGCACCCCATGCTCTCCCTCCCCTGGCCGCCCACCCCCTGCTCTCCCTCCCCTGGCCCTCCACACCCCTGCTCTCCCTCCCCTGGCCCCCCACCCTCTGCTGTCCCTCCCTAATCATTTTTTTTCTCTGCTTCTTTTTGTTTTTTGTTTTTTTTAATGGTGATTCACTTACTATTCAAAAGTCTGCGTCAGAGTCACGGTGGTTTCGGTGTAATTTGAATTTTGCCTGCAGGTCGCACGGGAGACCTCAGGCTGCTGTCGGGGAGCCCTGAGCGTGTAAAGGCCACAGGGTGTTACTGGGTGACGTTGGCGGGAACAGAGCTCCGTGTGCCAAGTCCTCGGGGTTCGTGAAGCATAGAGGGGCTGAGACCTTGGGATGGGCGTCCTGGGAGCTCAGGAGGACCCTTCGGGGCATGTCCCGTGTCCCTTTGACACAGAGACGGCCTGTGGGGTTCTGCTTTACCTCAACCACTAGGTGAACTTATGGGATCTGCTGAAAGGGGGACCCATGGGGCTGAGACCCCAAGATTTGGGAATTCCAGGCTGGGATTCACACCACGCGGTGACACAGATGCTTGAATTTGCGGGGTCGGGAGCCAGGGAGCTCAGAGTTCTACTGTTGTGACTGTTGTTGGGGACGGATAGGAAGAGGGTGGGGGTCAGGGGAGGGAGAGCATGGGGTGGGGGGCCAGGGGAGGGAGAGCAGGAGGGTGGGGGTCAGGGCAGGGATAGCAGGAGGGTGGGGGTCAGGGGAGGGAGAGCAGGAGGGTGGGGGTCAGGGGAGGGAGAGCAGGAGGGTGGGGGTCAGGGGAGGGAGAGCAGGAGGGTGGGGGTCAGAGGAGGGAGAGCAGGAGGGTGGGGGTCAGGGGAGGGAGAGCAGCGGGTGGGGGTCAGGGGAGGGAGAACAGGAGGGTGGGGGACTATGGGAGGGAGAGCAGGGGGTGGGGGGCCAGGGGAGGGAGAGCAGGGAGTGGGGGTCAGGGGAGGGAGAGCAGGAGGGTGGGGGCCAGGGCAGGGATAGCAGGAGGGTGGGGGCCAGGAGAGGGAGAGCAGGGGGTGGGGGTCTAGGGGAGGGATAGCAGGGGGTGGGGGTCAGGGGAGGGAGAGCAGGAGGGTGGGGGACTATGGGAGGGAGCGCAGGAGGGTGGGGGCCAGGAGAGGGAGAGCAGGGGGTGGGGGTCTAGGGGAGGGATAGCAGGAGGGTGGGGGCAGGGGAGGGATAGCAGGAGGGTAGGGGTCAGGGGAGGGATAGCAGGAGGGTAGGGGTCAGGGGAGAGATAGGAAGAGGGTGGGGGTCAGGGGAGGGATAGCAGGAGGGTGGGGGCAGGGGAGGGATAGCAGGAGGGTAGGGGTCAGGGGAGGGATAGCAGGAGGGTAGGGGTCAGGGGAGAGATAGGAAGAGGGTGGGGGTCAGGGGAGAGATAGGAAGTTGGTGGGGGCAGGAGAGGGATAGCAGGAGGGTGGTGGACTAGGGGAGGGAGAGCAGGAGGTGAAGGTAGGGGAGGGATAGCAGGGGGTGGGGGGCCAGGAGAGGGATAGCAAGAGGGTGGGGGTCAGGGGAGGGAGAGCAGGAGGGTAGGGGACTAGGGGAGGGATAGCAAGAGGGTGGGGGACCAGGGGAGGGAGAGCAGGGGGTGGGGGCCAGGGGACGGAGAGCAGGGGGTGGGGGCCAAGAGAGGGAGAGCAGGGGGTGGGGGGCCAGGAGAGGGATAGCAGGGGGTGGGGACCAGGGGACAGAGAGCAGGGGGTGGGGGGCCAGGTGACGGAGAGCAGGGGGTGGGGGCCAGGAGAGGGATAGCAGGGGGTGGGGACCAGGGGACGGAGAGCAGGGGGTGGGGGGCCAGGTGACGGAGAGCAGGGGGTGGGGGCCAGGAGAGGGATAGCAGGGGGTGGGGACCAGGGGACGGAGAGCAGGGGGTGGGGGGCCAGGGGACGGAGAACAGGGGGTGGGGGGCCAGGGGACGGAGAGCATGGGGTGGGGGGCCAGGGGACGGAGAGCAGGGGGTGGGGGGCCAGGGGAGGGAAAGAAGGGGGTGGGCTGCCAGGGGAGGTAGAGCATGGGGTGGGGGACCAGGGGACGGAGAGCAGGGGGTGGGGGGCCAGGGGACGGAGAGCAGGGGGTGGGGGGCCAGGGGAGGGAGAGCAGGGGGTGGGGGGCCAGGGGACGGAGAGCATGGGGTGGGATGCCAGGGGAGGTAGAGCATGGGGTGGGGGGTAGGGGACGGATAGCAGCGGGCGGGGGGGCTAGGGGAGGGATAGCAGGAGGTAGAGGTGGGGGAGGGATAGCATTGGGTGGGGGCAGGAGAGGAAGAGCTTGAACCCTCCTGGGTTGAAGCAATCCTCCTGAGTAGCGGGAATTGCAGGCACCTGCCACCACGCCAGGCTAATTTTGCATTTTTAGCAGACACAGGGTTTCGCCATGTTGGCCAGGCTGGTCTCGAACTCCTGACCTCAGGTGATCCACCTGCTTGGTCAGTGCCCATGACATTCTAGGCGCTGCCAAGGAAGCGTCCGATTGGAGTGACTGGATCAGGTTCCTTCTCCCCATGGACACCCGTCCACAGAGTCCGTTGGATTCACTCCTGCGTTTCTCCCCAGACATTCACCCATCAGGGTAACTGGTGTTTACCGGCTAAGAAGCAAACGTGATGACCCCCCCCCAGGCTCTGGGGGGGGCTAGGGGAGGGGGGCTGATGGCTTCCGTGACCCTCCCAAAGAAACTCTGGCTGTAACGTTTCTGTTTTCCCCTCGGTGGGTTCCTGGCTTCATTTCGGTGTTTGCAGAGAGCTGGACACAGAAAATGACACAGAGACAGCAGGAGGCGGCCATCCTGGGCTGGTGACACGCGTTGGATTGGCATGGGGGGGGCGCTGGGGGGGTAGTTAGCGGCTGGAGGGGGGAGATGGGGGGCTTGTCTATCAGGGGCTGCGTGACGAAGACAGCTTTTCCCCAGTCAGGCTGGGGGTAACGAGGCAGGGAGCGTTGGGGTCCGTCCTGACAGTGCGTTGGGCCCGCAGAGATTGTCCGTCTCCGCAGACTCAAGACAAAATAAACTGACCTGTTCGTGTAAACGTTTGCGACCGGTTCTCAGCCCACATTTTCAAGCAGAATTGTTTAATTTAAAAAAAAAACAAAACAAAAAAAATAGTGCAGGACCAAGACATAAGGGCTTCCCTCTAAATACACAAACGCGTCTCTGGTTGGTGGCACCTGCCTTGGGGACCTGTGACCCCGTCTTCTCGCACACGCATGTGGGTCTGATCGGGGGGACTCTCTGCCTTCACCCCGTGACTATCCAGGGTTCCATCGGGGACAGCAGTCGGGTGGCGCTTGGATGTGTAGGTTGCCGGGGAGCAGGGAGAGGTGGGGTCCCCAGAGAGGTGCCAGCTGTACCCATATTTTCACATGATTTTGTGGTGCCCCTCGGAGAGGCGTGGAGGGGAGAACGCATGGCTCCCCGACAGCCGCAGCAGACCCGGCCTTCACGAACGCCAGCCTGTCACCCTCGTCAGGCAGCAGCAAGTGAAGGAGAAGGCGCCTTTATTATTTTTTTATTTTTTCACCAGGGTACCCCAGAGTCAATTAAAAAACACTGTGAGGCTGACATTTGCAGAACTGCCGGATGATCAAAGGGGAAAATGCCCATACAGCTTCTGACATGAAAACCAGGCTGTTTGATGGAAGACTGACACGCTGGAACAGGTCAGGTAATTATGAGGAAACGTGTGATGTGTGTGTTGCACCGGCCCGGTGTGCACACATGATCACAGCCGTTGAGATGGAACGGCGGGCTCCCTTCTTCCCGTGTGACACCCGCGCGTGCTGCTGATACAGATGGCACCCGCGCAGGGGCTGAATTCATCTGACGGTAAATGGGCGCCGCCACTGACCGGCTCGTTTAAATATACGTTTTTTTAATTGCAGCAGGGCAGGTTCTGATTTTGGCACCGCCGGGAATCGCTGGGGAAGCACAGACGGCTGTTCTGAGCAAGGCGTTTTCCGCATGTTTTACGGGACACACCCAAGCACACAGGTCCCCGTGCGCGCACACACACTGTCTCTGTCTCACACACACACGCATGCATGCACAACACATGTATTTTTTTGTTTCTTGCCTTTTTCTGGTTTTCTTTTTTTTTTTTGCAGCATATAATGATGGCATGTGCAGACACACTGGCTGTTGTGTGTAATGACGGCATGTGCAGAGATGCTTTGCTGTTGTGTGTAATGATGGCGTGTGCAGAGACACTGGCTGTTGTGTATACTGACGGCATGTGCAGAGACACTGGCTGTTGTGTGTAATGACGGCATGTGCAGACACACTGGCTGTTGTGTGTAATGACGGCATGTGCAGAGACACTGGCTGTTGTGTGTAATGACAGCATGTGCAGAGATGCTTTGCTGTTGTGTGTAATGACGGCGTGTGCAGAGACACTGGCTGTTGTGTGTAATGACGGCATGTGCAGAGACACTGGCTGTTGTGTGTAATGATGGCGTGTGCAGAGACACTGGCTGTTGTGTGTAATGATGGCATGTGCAGAGACACTGGCTGTTGTGTGTAATGACAGCATGTGCAGACACACACTGGCTGTTGTGTATACTGACGGCATATGCAGAGATGCTTTGCTGTTGTGTGTAATGATGGCGTATGCAGAGAGACACTGGCTGTTGTGTGTACTGACGGCATGTGCAGAGACACTGGTTGTTGTGTATACTGACGGCATGTGCAGAGACACTGGCTGTTGTGTGTAATGACGGCATGTGCAGAGACACTGGTTGTTGTGTGTAATGACGGCATGTGCAGAGACACTGGCTGTTGTGTATACTGACGGCATGTGCAGAGACACTGGCTGTTGTGTATACTGATGGCGTGTGCAGAGACACTGGCTGTTGTGTGTAATGACGGCATGTGCAGAGACACACTGGCTGTTGTGTATACTGACGGCATGTGCAGAGACACTTTGCTGTTGTGTGTAATGATGGCACGTGCAGAGACACTGGCTGTTGTGTGTAATGACAGCATGTGCAGACACACACTGGCTGTTGTGTATACTGACGGCATATGCAGAGATGCTTTGCTGTTGTGTGTAATGATGGCGTATGCAGAGAGACACTGGCTGTTGTGTGTACTGACGGCATGTGCAGAGACACTGGTTGTTGTGTATACTGACGGCATGTGCAGAGACACTGGCTGTTGTGTGTAATGACGGCATGTGCAGAGACACTGGTTGTTGTGTGTAATGACGGCATGTGCGGAGACACTGGCTGTTGTGTATACTGACGGCATGTGCAGAGACACTGGCTGTTGTGTATACTGATGGCATGTGCAGAGACACTGGCTGTTGTGTGTAATGACGGCATGTGCAGAGACACACTGGCTGTTGTGTATACTGACGGCATGTGCAGAGACACTTTGCTGTTGTGTGTAATGACGGCACGTGCAGAGACACTGGCTGTTGTGTGTAATGACGGCATGTGCAGAGACACTGGCTGTTGTGTGTAATGATGGCATGTGCAGAGATGCTTTGCTGTTGTGTATACTGACGGCGTGTGCAGAGATGCTTTGCTGTTGTGTGTAATGATGGCGTGTGCAGAGACGCTGGCTGTTGTGTATACTGATGGCGTGTGCAGAGACACTGGCTGTTGTGTGTAATGACGGCATGTGCAGAGACACTTTGCTGTTGTATGTAATGACGGCATGTGCAGAGACACTGGCTGTTGTGTGTAATGACGGCATGTGCAGAGACGCTGGCTGTTGTGTGTAATGACGGCACGTGCAGAGACACTGGCTGTTGTGTGTAATGACGGCGTGTGCAGAGACACTGGCTGTTGTGTATACTGACGGCATGTACAGAGACACTGGCTGTTGTGTGTAATGACGGCATGTGCAGACACACTGGCTGTTGTGTATACTGACGGCATGTGCAGACACACACTGGCTGTTGTGTATACTGACGGCATGTGCAGAGACACTGGCTGTTGTGTGTAATGACGGCTTGTGCAGAGACAGTGGCTGTTGTGTGTAATGACGGCTCGTGTAGAGACACTGGCTGTTGTGTACACTGACAGCATGTGCATAGAGACACTTTGCTGTTTTATCATGTGTATGCTAATTGCTCAAAAGTAATGCGTTTTTTTTCCTCTCTTCCCAGCTCCCTCCTCCCCCAATGCATCCCCAGCAGCCAACGCTGAACACCGCATTCATTATGATGATTAAGGAATTCTCCCATCTTTCTGCCTTGATGTGTTTATTAAGTTAATGAAGGATGCGACAGATGAATTTGTGTGCAGAGGGTAGAAGGAGGCAGAGGGCCTGGTCGTCTCTGCCACGCTCACGTCGTAATTGGCTTAATGGATTTTCCGTGGTCCGGGATGTCTGCTTCCTCCTCTCTCAGGCAAACCAATTATGGCTTTTTACATTAAATTCTAATAGATTTCAATTTATCTCCTCTAAATTATCACAATAATTACAGTAATAACTTAAGCTCCTCGACACCATTCGTCAAGAAGTTTTGAGTGTGGCATCGGAGCAGCATGGCGCGGGACAGGCTGACTACACAGGCCTGGGGGTTGTGAGGGGGCTGACACCGGCCCCGGGAGACAGTGTGTGTTCGCATGTGTATGAGTGAATCTCTGATTCATTCTGAAAGTCTGCAGAGAGTTCTCCCAACAGACGGTTCCTCTAAGGGGTAGAAATATTTATACATCATCATTTTGCCTTCTCAAATTCCCTGGTGTTTTGTTTCGTTTTTTGGATCTTGGTGTTTTTTTGTTTTGTTTTGTTTTTTTGAGACAGAGTTTCATTCTTGTTGCCCAGGCTGGAGTGCAGTGGCACAGCCTCAGCTCGCTGCAACCTCCGCCTCCCTGGTTCAAGCGATTCTCCTGCCGCGGTTTGAAGTTGTCTGTTGTCTGCTTTGTTTAGGTTTATGTTTGTTTTCTGTTTTCAGTTGTTTGTTGATTTTTGTGGTGTGTGTGTGGTTGTGGTGTGTGTGTGTTTTGTTGATTTTTGTGGTGTGTTTTTTATTTTTGTGGCATGTGTGTATGTGTGTGTGTTTTGCTGATTTTTGTGGTGTGTGTGTGTTTGTAGTTTGTGTGTGTTTTCTTGATTTTTGTGGTGTGTGTGTGTTTTTGTTGATTTTTGTGGTGCGTTTTTTATTTTTCTGGCCTGTGTGTTTGTGGTGTGTGTATCTGTGTGTGTTTTGTTGATTTTTGTGGTGTGTTTTTGTTGATTTTTGTGGTGTGTGTATGTTTTTGTGTGTTTGTGGTATGTGTGTTTTTGTTGATTTTTGTGGTGTGTGTGTTTGTGGTGTGTGTATGTGTGTGTGTTTTGTTGATTTTTGTGGTGTGTGTGTTTTTGTTGATTTTTGTGGTGTGTTGATTTTTGTGCTGTGTGTGTTTGTTTATTTTTGTGGTGTGTGTGTTAGTGGTGTGTGTATGTGTGTGTGTTTTGTTGATTTTTGTGGTGTGTTTTTTACTTTTGTGGTGTGTGTTTGTGTTGTGTTGTATGTGTGTGTGTTTTGTTGATTTTTGTGGTGTGTTTTTGTTGATTTTTGTGGTGTGTGTCTGTTTGTGTGTTTGTGTGTCTGTTTTTGTTGATTTTTGTGGTGTGTGTGTGTTTGTGTGTGTTTGTTGTGTGTGTGTTTTTGTTGATTTTTGTGGTGTGTGTGTTTTTGTTGATTTTTGTGGCGTGTTTGTTGATTTTGTGGTGTGTGTGTGTTTGTGGTGTGTGGTGTGTGTGTTTTGATTTTTGTGGTGTGTGTGTTTGTTGATTTTTGTGGTGTGTATGTTAGTGGTGTGTGTATGTGTGTGTGTTTTGTTGATTTTTGTGGTTTTTTGTGGTGTGTGTTTGTGTTGTGTGTGTATGTGTGTGTGTTTTGTTGATTTTTGTGGTGTGTTTTTGTTGATTTTTGTGGTGTGTGTGTGTTTGTTGTGTGTGTTTTTGTTGATTTTTGTGGTGTGTTTTTGTTGATTTTTGTGGTGTGTGTGTGTGTTTGTTGTATGTGTTTTTGTTGATTTTTGTGGTGTGTGTGTTTGTGGTGTGTGTGTTTGTGGTGTGTTTATGGGTGTGTGTTTTGTTGATTTTTGTGGTGTGTGTGTTTGTGTGTGTTTGTTGTGTGTGTGTTTTTGTTGATTTTTGTGGTGTGTGTGTTGATTTTTGTGGTGTGTGTGTTTGTGCTGGTGTGTGTGTGTGTGTGTGTCTGTGTCTGTGTCTCTCTGTGAGTCTGTGTGTGTCTGTGTGTGTGTGTGTGTTTTAAAGTCTTCCTCTGTCTCCCAGGTTGGAGTGCAGTGTTGCAATCTACGCTGACTGCAACACCGTCTTCCTGGGTTCAAGCGATTCTCCTGCCTCAGCCTCCCGAGTAGCTGGGATTTCAGGCTCCCACCACCAGGCCCAGCTAATTTTCGTATTTTCATAGAGATGGGGTTTCGCCGTGTCGGCGAGGCTGGTCTCGAACCCCCGACCTCAGGTGATCCACTAGCCTGAAAACGTAGTGTCGTTGCCATAGGAAGAAGAAGAAGGAGAAGGAGAAGAGGTCGACTGTCTAATTCAATCTCTGACAATCTGGGGCCACCGGCCCTATTAGCGTTGACATCAGGTGCAGGCAGGGACTTCCCGGGTTGGCCACAGAGGACGCTCTGATTCAGCATGGGGTGACACAGACCGCCAGGAAGGCCTCTCGTGGACGTTCGCCGCGTGTCGGGGATGTGACGTGTGCACGGCGGGTGGCGTCCGGGGTTGTGGGGAGATGCCGCAGAAATAACGGGAGGCCGCGAAAACGGCAGGCGAGGGTCTCATAATATATGTGATATCTGATGCCCACGTCACCCGGCAGAGGGGACGTGGGTAACGGTGTATTTGTGCTGGTGAGATATTTCCACACTCAGGGACATATTGAGAGAAACAGGGGTGGGAAAAGACCCAGCAGGGTGGGTCAGGACTGTAATCCCAGCACTTTGGGGGGGCTGAGGCGGGCAGATCACCTGAGGTGAGGAGTTCGAGACCAGCCTGACCAACAGGGTGAAACCCTGTGTCTACTAAAAACACAAAAATTAGTCAGATGTGGTGGCAGATGCCTGTGATCCCAGCTACTCGGGAGACTGAGGCAGGAGAATCACGTGAACCTGGGAGGTGGAGGATGACGTGAGGCGAGATGGTGCCACTGTACCCCAGCCTGGGTGACAGTGAGACTCAAATCCGCGCCCCCCCCAACAAGAAAAAGCAGAGCATGATGTCGCATTTCTGTCACCCGAGCTACTTGGGCAGCCAAGGTGGGTGAATCGCTTGAGCACGTGAGTTCAAGACTAGCCTGGGCAACATAGCCAGACCCTGTGTCTACAAAAAAAAACAAAAATTAGCCCGGCGTGGCGACACATGCTTGTAGGCCTAGCTACTCAGGAAGCTGGGATGGGGGATCACGTGAGCCCAGGAGGTCGAGGCTGCAGTGAGCTATGACATCTCAACCTTTTAGGAAGCGGAGGTGGGGAGTCGCTTGAGGCCGGGCTTTGGGAAGTAGAAATTTCTTTTTGTTTTTTTGTTAAAGAATAAATCCTAAGTGTGCTCATAACTCTCGGTGAAGCCCCGTCCTATGTAGCCGTTAGCCCATCCTTTTTCACGGCTGCGCGGTATTCCATGGTGTCTATGTGCCACGTTTTGTTTGATTGACCGATGGGCATTTCAGTTGGATGCCAGGATCTGGGAACAGAGAACGTCCAAGGCGTCAGGGTGCCAAAGAGGGAGGTGAGACTGGGTCCCACTGTGGGAAGTAGAAAAGTTCCTTTTAAAAGTTTTCTCATTAAATCATAAGTGTGCTCGTAACTCTCTGTGAAGCCCCATCCTACATAGCTGTTAGACACGCCGAGCTCATCCTTTTTCATGGCTGCATAGTATTCCATAGTAATCCTACGTGGCTGTTAGACACGCCGAGCTTATCCTTTTTCATGGCTGCATAGTATTCCATAGTAATCCTACGTGGCTGTTAGACACGCCGAGCTCACAGGCACGTAGGACATTCCACGTCCTTGTACTTTCACCGAGATATCAGAGCTGGACGTGCTCACAGGCGGGTCCCAGGTGTCCGTGGCTGTCACCTGTTTAGAAAAGTTTTAAGTCGTCAGCCAGTCGGGTTTTAGTTTAGATGCTGAGGTCTGGCTCCGGCCCACGGGGCTCAGACGCGGCCGGAAGGACGACCCCACGTGCGTCAGGGATACAGGTGTGTGTTTTCCTTGGTTCATTGTACTCTCGTGGCACGATGGCCAGTGAGGGTCCCCTCCCTGCAGTACCCATCTCTACAAAAACTTCGCAGAGCAAGATGGCATGTTTATGTCATCCCCGCTACTTGGGAGGCCAAGGTGGGTGGATCATTTGAGCCCAGGAGTTCAGGACCGGCCTGGGCAACATAGCAAGACCCTGTCTCTGCAAAAAATAAAAATAAAAACTTAGCCAGGTCTGGTGACACATGCTTGGAGTGCCAGCTACTTGGGAGGCTGAGACTGGAGGATCACTTGAGCCCAGGAGGTTGAGGCTGCAGTGAACTGTGATATCTCAACCCTTTGGGAAGAAGAGGTAGCAGGATCTCTCTCATGCACAGTCACACATGGACACATACACAGTCACACCCACTGCTACACACACTCAATTGCTCACGCATACACACACATCCACATGTACACACACGCGGCGCACATGCTGTCACGCTCTTGCACACCCGTGCTCATGCATTGCTCATTCATACATGGTCACACGCGCACACACGCTCATACACGCTCATGCACCTGCTCACGCATACTAACACACAGATGCTGACACGCATGTGTGTGCACTCGGACTGGGCATGTCCCCCGCCACACGCCTCTCCCCCCACGCCTCTCCTCCGCCCCGCCAAGGCCCCGGGCTCTGGCCATCGGTCCTCGTTCCAGGGTTCTGTGTGAAGTTCAGGCTTCTTCATTTTTACTGTGTATTTACAGTCATAAAATCGTGCACAAAAAAAAAGCATTTTTACTCTGCGAAGCGGGAAGTTTACCTTAAATAAAAAATAGGATGATTGGAGATGGAAGCGGGAGGACCATGAGGTCAAGAAATCGAGACCATCCTGGCCAACAAGTGAAAACCCGTCTCTACTAAAAGTACAAAAATGAGCTGGGGGGGGTGGTGCGCACCTGTAGTCCCAGCTACTCAGGAGGCTGAGGCAGGACAGTGACTTGAACCCGGGAGGCGGAGGTTGCGGTGAGCTGAGATTGCGCCATTGCACTCCAGCCTGGCGCCTGGCAACGGAGCGAGACTCTGTCTCAAAAAAAAAAAAAGCAGGATGAGAGGTTGTCCCGGCTGTGACCCCAGGAAATACCCATCCGGTGATATCAGGGGTCCAGGACGACACCAGATTAGCTCTCACTGCCGCGTAAACAAGGACTCACAGGTACGTCTGCCGCACGGCTGCACCTGTGTTATT